CCAACTCCCCAACCCCCCAACCCCCCCCCATGAAACAGCCCCGGAATACCCAGCAAATAACACACAAACACCTGGCAACCACCCACAGACCACCCCGAACACCCCCCAAGGGGGGAACACAAGGCAGTGTGCAAACCGGTCGACAGACCGCCTACAGTTCGGCACGGCCGGTAGGCAAGCCCACGACCTATGGTCGGCGTTGGCCGCAGGCAGTCTGACAAACCTGCTGTGGGTGGCTGCTCTTTTGGAGCACATGGAAGAAATGGGAAAGCTTCTAGAGTGTTTTAAGCAGTAGCACTCCTGGTGTCGCGCGGAGATCTTGTGGTGTTTGGCATAGTTCGCGCAGTGACCTCGCTGTAGCACTAAGAGATCATTTCATTCTGCAGGTTGCTCGGCAGGGGGAGGTTCGTGGCACTCTTGGTGTTGCGTAGAGGTCCTGTGTGCTTGTTTGATTCATGGTGGCTTGGTGGGCCGACTCAGAGGGCTCTCTAAGTTTTTTAAGACCAATTGCGGGCATGGTTGGTGCTTTCTTGTTAGTGGAGTCCTTTTTGTTGTGGTGCAACTAATTTACGGCCGCGGCGATGCAGCGGGTCAACAGAGGGGATGAGAGAAGACGGCGGAGGGGAGACGAAGAGGGAAATGGAGGCGAGGAAGGGTGGTACCCGAAAAAGAGGGGAGGGGGGAGGGAAGCAAAAGCCAAGTCCATGTGGTAAGCCCACGTCCTGTAGACAATTAGACCTGTGCTATTAGAAAAACAACAGCAAGAGTGGGATTAGAGCTCTTGACTTCGTCACAAACAGGAATGACCATGCTAGCGTCCAGTGCATAACAGCCCTTGTGTGCTTATGCCCTAAGAAGACTGCTCCCAGGCCTGTCATGCACGAGCCGTATTTGACCAGGATTCCATCCAGAAGCAGCAAAAAACTTTTAAAACTCCTAGCGTGAGTATGCCCTAAGCCCCTGCACTCACGAGGCTACCAAAATTCTCCCAGACTTGAGCCGGAGATTCATTCTCATTTTGCACATTTGGTGAGTGCTGGAGCCAAGGCCCAACGTAACCGGCCGAGTAAAGACTGATGCGTGCTGCCTTCCACAACAACAAAAAAGGAAAAGCTAAACGGCACCACCGGTCCTTCAGGACATCCTTTCAAATTGGAACGATACAGAGAAGATTAGCATGGCTCCTGCACAAAACAAAAAACGACACCAGGGACTGCTATGAAAACGCAGGTCTATTGAAACCGACAAACATGGAACGACTGCCCTGCTATGCTTTGTACTTGTATTCGAACATTGCGGTCTCGGCACAAAGAAAACTGGAAGCGCCCAAGCGACAAAC